AGGCCACTGACTAGCCATCTCATGGGCTAGGAGCTAATGTCAGCCAACATCAAACTGGAAATAAATTGAAAAATTTCAGTTTGCTTGAAACAGTAAGTGTAATTAACTGTTGGACTGCATTATACATTGCTGTGGCAAATTATCCATATTTGATTTATATAATCTTTCTAAAAGGTGTGCTTTAATTCAATGCAGCTTGCTGTTTTGCATGAGGAACATTCCACAGCCTTTCCCATGTAGGAGGCTGTATTAGATAATGAAAATAGTTTATTCTCGCCTTAAAAGCAATTAATCCATGTTCAGCTCATTTTTATCATAGTCTTTGAGCAAGTTGCATACCGTTCCTGGGGTGTGGCAGTGAAGCAAGTGAGATGATTTACTCCATTTCCAGAGGTCTGAGTTGGCACTTTCTTTCAGACTGTCTCCATTTGACCCAACTGTAAGTGCGAGCCAGGTTCTGGGGCTTTGGACTCAAAAGTGTCCAAACATGATTCTAAAGTTATCACTATTTTTTCTGTCATTTTTCGTAGACAGTGTTATGCCCCTCTAAGTCTGATGAGCTATCTGATGTTCTTGATGTGGCCATGTATCTAACTGCCTCAAGTCATCTTTGAATTGCACCTCACTTCATTTGGGGAAGACTTACGAAATGCTAATATTTTTGTTGGCACAATGGAGAAATAAGAAATTTAAAATAACTGAAATGGCCAAGTCTTTTAATATGTTTCTTTCATTAAAATTACAAAAAAAAAAAAAGCCAAAAGTACTTTTTCAAGACAGAATATAGATCAAGACAGCAAGATCAAGAATCAAAATAAGACACCCTGTTTTTTATTTCATTGATAAAGCATGCAAAACTATCACAGGAAAGACTATAAAACTCCAGTAAGTGTTCCTGGAGGTTTGTGACTGTGACAAGGATCTTAAGGCACTGATTTTTTTTATGTATCATCTGACATGTTTACCACTAGCAAAATTAAGATTAATGGCATATGTTTTGTAGATGTCAAAAAAGGGAGTAAATAGTGTAAGGAAAATATAAATAGCAGTGCTAATTATGCAGTTCACTTTTTAATTCTACATGGTTTTCTTAGGAAAAGAATTTACATATCTGGGAAAATATTTGGATTGCAGAACATCACAAAGTTTTTTTAGTTTCATTAATTTGGCAAGATTATAAAATAGACAACTAAACTAAATCTATGCGCTAAATGGCAGAAATATGGGGTTTTTCCTTTGGTTCTAAAAAAGCAGGTGCTTCACCTGAAGATATAGCAGACCTAATATCTAAAAAGCAATATCAGCTTTTATGAGGTGACAATAGTATCTGGAAGAATGAAAAAAATAAATACCTAACCCTCTCAAAATATAGGTTTGAGGGGGTGTAGCCAAGATCAGATTAATCAAAATGTGATCAAACACCCTCCTTTCCAACATACTGTAATGCAGCACAAGTTATGCTGTAAAGCCAAAACAAAGCTAAAAGCAGTAGCAGAATCTAAAATAATAAAGCTTTTATGGAAGTGAGCAATAACTATTACAAAAGCAGGGTGTCAGAAGACTGGTGGACTACCGTTCAAGCAAATGAAAAATTAATTTTTTAGAAACTAAAATACTGATGACTCTTACTTCAATGCATTTTAAGGAGCAACTTAATGAAGAACTGACAGTGGTTGCCCACACAGAATTATACACATAGTAGAGCCCCTCAAGACATACAGTTAAGAAACTCTAAGCCCATTTAGATACATTTGTTTCTCATATATTGGTCCAGTTAATTATGTTGTAAAATATTTGAAAAGGACAAAGGTAGAAGGTTGTATCTCTGGATGCCACTGTGACTTAAGAGAATGAGATATACTTGTACACTACAGTGATGGATAGTTGAGATAAAAATTATATAGTAATACTATTGTATGTGTTCCAGAAAAAGCTTATTTATAGGCACACATTTTAAGGTCAAGAAGGACCAGTAAGGTCAGGAGAAGACATCTGTTTTGTTCTTCTCTAAAAAAAACCCATGGATTTTCTGCCGGTAATTTTTGCCTCAAGCCTGGAATTTCTTTAGAGCAGCTCAGGTCATAAAAATTTTTCTTCCATTTTCTAGTAAAGTAAGTACAGAGAAATATGATCATGTGAACAATGACAATCCCTCTTCTGTATTTGTGACTAACATTATCTCCAAAAATGACAACAGGTCCTGCTGCTGCTCTTGTTCACTCTCTCGAGCCACGTTTTGTCCCCTTTGCTTTGCATTGCTCTGGTTTTTGGTGTTTTAATTGAAATAATGCTGAGAGCTTTGGCTTCCATTAAAAATTTTCTCAGAAGTATTTACTTTGGACTCTAGGATCTTGGCTGCTTAATTAAGAGATAACAAAATTATCAGAAATTACAAGAAAGTCACTTTTTAGGCGTAGTTGTAGGATTTAACTAGGACTTGGGATGATGCTGTATATTGACATTAGGACCCAATGGAGGATGCCAAACTAAAAAGTCTCTTTTGTAGTTCTGTTTTTTCTTTTATTCCCCAGCAACCTATCTATTTATAACCATTTTCTTCATCATTCAGTAGGGCAAATACTTAGATGTGAACCATTTTCATACTGCATAAAGTTAAAAGGTTTACACTTCCAGTAATGCAGAGTAATTACACCCTTTCCTATGCTGGAAGTCCTTACATTTTCTTTGATTCATTTGCAAAATCTTCTGTTTTCCCCAAATTTTTGCTGAAATTCCCACAGTATTAGAGGATTAATGTCTATGGTGCACAGCTGGGGAGTACGTTTGCAAGTGTACAAGAATGAGCAGACTTGCATCAGCAGGTCACTATTGAAACCCACCCACAAGGGCTGGCAGCAGAGATTGCCTCCTAAGAAGTTGTATTGTTTTCCACTGAGTGAATGTGCCACTAACTAATGGGAGAAAAACACTGAGAATCATTTGGGTTTTCTGAGATTTATGAGCCAAGTTAATTGTTTTGTTTGACTGATTTATTATATTTGAATAGATAAAGTACTATTAATATTGCACTTTGAGCAAGAAGTTAAGGCCAGAATAGTCAAAACATTACTCATCTGATTGGAGTACCTCAATCTTATATGAGGGAACAAAATTAGATGTTCTTTTTAGAATGTGGATATACGTAACTCACTTCATTTCAAAGTGTAAGCATGTAACACCAACATTTGTGCCAATATATTATCTGTCTCTACAATAATCTTCCAAATAGCTGTTTCTGTAAAATAGAAGTGTTTCCATTTTTATACATTCTAGCTATTCTGTCCAAGTCAAATATTGAAATGGACAACATGAAATTAGTGATTATTACTTGTTCTCCAAAATAAAATATATTTGACGTGATAGAAGTGTTTGGTGCATTTATAAATGTATCATCAATGTCTAAATATCAGTTACTTGACATAGTACCTAATATTCACTTCATTTTCTCCATATAAGCTCCTTCGGAATGAAAGTATTTTTTCATTGTTCCTTGCTTGTTTAGATAATAACACAGATCAAGTAGAAGTAATTCCAGAGATAGGGTTAGAGCACCAGGCTACAGCTAACCCTACAGCTGCTTCCCGTAAGGGCTTGTACTCAACCCCTGGTATCTCATATAGTTGTGGCCAGTTAGGTTCCTGCACGTTGAAATTTTCACAAGGAGCGTGATACCTTTTCCCTACCCATCCTACTATTTGCACAGTGACCTAACATCACTGAAGGGTACTGTTATGATTTGCTTGAACCTTCTTTTGCTCTTAAAGGTTGGGGGGCCTGCATCTATAAATATTGACAAGCAAATTTTTTAGCATCTTTCTACTTTTTTCTTCCCTTTCTCCTTTCTTTCCTTCCTCTTCATCTAACCCTAGATGAATATTGCAAATCATCACTAGGGAAAAGCTTTCCAAAGGAGGCCCATTCTGCATTTCACTCTGAAGCACAGCTCAGATGAGAACAGAGTTGTGGTAAGGAATTTTTCTCATCAGAGACATTTACAGGGACTGTTCTGCCATGAGGTGGTAGAACTTTGCTCTGGAGTCTGAGATCTGCAACATCTTTGGAGAATCTTGATATCATGATGGTTTGTGGGCTGAAAGCTGCCCAGTGTTACTGCTGGTCTGTTGATTAAGAGACTTATGGCTTAGAATTAGGGACAGTAATTAGATCCAGAAGCAAGTGTGGATACATCAGAATGTATACAGCCCTGGAGTAATGTGTTCCTAATACTCATCTCAAACAACTCGGGATATGTGTGGCTTCCGTTTTCTTCTTCAGTGAGAGTTAGAGACAGAGTAGGAATTACTGTAGAAAGCTCTTGGTCTAGGAGAAGAAGGTTGTCTTTGGAATGAATATCACACTGAAAACTTTCCAGCCTAAGCCTTTCATTAATTTCTCCATGTCATCTTAATATATTTAAACTCTAAAAAATTATGCTGCAAAAAGTTCTCCCCACGTGTAATTTTTCCTCAAGTGAAGTGCATACCTTTCAAATTATAAACTTCCTACTTGTCCTAGGAAAATCCTCACTGTATAAATAATTGAACTCATCTGCTGTGAACACAAGTATTCTTTCTCTAGCAGTCTAAAATATATGCCTAAATACACATCTTGTACTTAGTGCTTTAAATAGTAATTACTCCCGTGAAGTCACTGGAAGCCCTTAAAAGGATTTGACAGTTTCCCCACAATCTTTCAGTGAATGTAGTAGCTGGGCTGTGCAGTGCTACATCCACTGATAATTCAGCAGCTGAGGAACTCAGCAAAGCCTGCTCCAAACTTCTCAGCTGTTGACAGGCTTGACTTGCTGAGAACACTGGTTAAATATAGCACAAGCGAGCTGAGCTCAACAAAGTCATTGCTGTAACACTGTGTGAAGAGACCAGAAGAGGGGAAATACAATCTGAGAACTAAACTGCCAAAGCCTAACACCACCTAGCAACAGTTGAAAAAACTTTTAAACAAAAGTCTGGGTGAGACACAGACAGAGTATACCTCCTACTTCTCTTGCCTGGGATTTCTGCGAGAAGCAGCTCCGGTCTTCTGTTCTCTACCCCATTTCCTTCATTACTTCAGCTGCTGGTAGACCTAAAAAAGTGGGAAAAGTTTCTCTCCTTGTGTTCTCCTGGGCTGGATCAGTCTACTGCTGTGGTAGTGCTGTGGGACAAGCTACTGCAGTCTTGCGGTGTAAAGGATATATTCCTAGGTTCGTGTTGCTGACAGGTAAGACTGAGCTAACCACTTCAATGCATTCTTTTTAGAAGTTATTTTCTTTTGTAGTTACTATTGTCTCTTTTCTTCTGTGAACAATCTTCTGCATGATTTTGAAACATCAGTAGATGAAAGCTGGGTTAACAGTTTTAGATTTTTTTTACACTTTCATCACAGAAAAACATGGCTTAAATAAATTTTGTGTTTCCTAGAATGAGCAAAATCAAGTAGCTAGTAGTAATATGAAAAAATCTGTATAGATTTTGATATGTATTTTGCTTATATCTGCTTACATGCTGACAGACGACAAACCCACATTTAAGAATAGAATACATATCATCCCTTACCAGTGATAGTCTAGCAGCTATTAAAAACAGTGACAGCCTGTGTTATAAGTAAGAGGAAATAGCCATTCAGTAACTGAATTAACTGAATACTTTGTGACCCAGCACATTTATACTTTTTGTTTCCTTACTAACTTTTAGCACACAGGCATACCTGGTGCCTTTCGTACTATCCTTGTGACAACAGCTCTTGGTTCTTCCTCTTGTACTTATTTACATAGAACAAATATTAATCTCTGCTAGATTAATTAGCTGTATAATGCAACCATCCTAAAGACTGACCTTATGTTTGTTGTACCCAAGTGTGCTTAAGCTGCGTCAGTGTGTGTTTCTTTTAGCAAAATAAATGAGAAACCAGTTCTCTGATGCTTTACCCTGACAGCAGAATGGAAGCCTGTTTGTCTGTTGGAAATGCATATCCTATGGTCCCATAATGGTCATGTAATTTAAGGGAGGAATTGCTTAGTATGACTTACTTTTTGTCTAAACTGACAAAAGTTGTTTGGTCAATTGAAGAATGAATCCCCCCCACCCCATCTTTTAAAGCCATTTTCTCCAAACAAAAGAAATCTAGTATGCATGAATTTTTAAAACATGTACTATGAATTCATATGCAGTATAAATTCAGTTACGAAGGCAAAGATTTAAAGAATACACTTAACCCATGCAAAAACCCTGTTCACAGATTTATGTAGAATTGTCTCAGATGAAAAATATTTGTCCTAAAGAGGGAATGGACTGACTGAGTCTACGCAGACTGTCTGTGGTGTTTGACACTTAGTCTGTGGACTCTGGGACTGCCTCAGGAAGATGAGAAGGTCTTGCTTTAGCTAAATAATTCTAGTTTCATCCCTGCATACTATATAAATGACATCAATACCACATCTTAGCAGTGACATGCTCACAGATTGGATGAAATCAAAATACTCTGAAGCAACTTTGACTTCGTGGCTGAGAATGTAACTGCCTGTGAAACAATAAGATAAATTAAGTACTAGGATGGAGGAAAATTCTTAAAAGGAAAGATAATATAGTTTACATTTTATTTCATAGCAAGGGGCACACTACTTAAGCACTAGATAGGAATACTTTTTGGTGGCCGTGATTTAATGTGATAATCATTACTGTGGAATTACTACAGCACTATGGTATCCTGAATCTCAAAAGGAAACTTTGGTATTACTTTTTAATATAGGTATATCCTGAGAAAGTTATTTTTTCATAAGAAAGCTGTTCAGTAAGAACTAAAACAGTTTTTGTCATCTTGACATTAGAGTGAAAATTACTGTTTCGTATTTTGACTGAGTTAATTGGCAAATAATAAACTGCCAAGAAATGGCAAATTTGACCTTCTGAATACATAGGGATGACAAAATCTGTATGCTATCCTACTTACTGACTGCTTTTGGGTTTTAGTTGTTGCTCAGCATAATGTATGGTTATAAAATTTTACTTTTCTTGCACAATAAATAAAATAAATAAATAAAAGCAAAAGGCAAATTTATTAGCCTGAATGCTATCAAATGAAGTGACTTTTGAACAGTCTGATAGCAACTTCCAACTCTAACACATGGAGTTGTGGTTTTACATACATCTGTCTTCCTTTCCACTTCAAAATGGAGGAGGCGGCTAAAATTACTCTGCTCAACAGGTGTCCACAAAGAGGCTCTGGGATTTTCCAACCAAATCTGTGGAATATGTAATGTGGCTATTCAACAGATGGTTTCATATTTGAAGAATAGCCAATTCTACTAATGACTACAGTGAAACCAAGCTCAATTTTATATCAAATCACAAAGTAATTTAGCTTTTGGCGATACACTCCATTGTAGAGATTTTCTTGGAAGACCAGTAGACATAGCATACCCATTTATTTTCCCCCTTATGTATTATTTTGATTTTGTTTATATTCCCCTAACTGTGTAATGAATGGTGCCTTTCATGGTGCTAAAGACTGTGTATTCCTCCCAATCTGAATCCACTTCCAGATGCTGCCTATGGCTTGTTCTTTCACCTTCATTACAGCAAAATGATAATTTATGGCCTCTTTTAACCAATCTAGCCACAGCTAAAGTCATCATCTTAACTGAGTGTTTTGTCATCACCTCAGTCTTTCAATGTCTTTGTAGAACGTCTGGTTCTTTTTAACATCAAATTCAAAGACTTGAAATTCATCTTCAAAGCTTAGCACTATTCTGTCTCTGCCTACATCTGCCTGATTTTCCCATACTCCTCCTGCTCATATCTGGTAGGCTATTGACCTTCGGCTCCGGTGTTCACTAGTCCATCCTCTATGCTACTGGCTTTAGTAAGCTTGAAATTGGCCTAATGACATACAAGTTGTTAGTTTTCTATAGTGCCTCTCTGTAGCACCTGACACTAATGTCATGGAAAGACTAAACTTGTCTACTAACAGAGCTATGTCAACCAAGGTAGGACTCCTGAAGACATAGTTGTGCTTCCTGGAAGCAACTTGTGGAGAAAGCATATCAGGAAATTTCTACTTTTACTAGTATGCCCTGTTTTGTTCCTCTGGGTCACAATTTCACCAGTGTAGCTATTTCCATACTAAAAGCTTTTTACTGATACAGATGTATCAGTAAAACTCCTCCTGATACAGGATCTTTCTGTTGGCACAGATTCCACACATGCTTAATTTAAGGCTTTTGGTAATCACATCTAACTCACTTGATGTGCCCCCAGGCATAAATTAAGAATGTGCCTCAGGGCTGTAGTGAGTCAGAGGCCAGGTTTATGCCACTGAATTCAGGGTGAGATTTCCTTTGAGTTTAATAAGATCAGGTCTTAGTGTTCAATAATTAACAGATAAATTTCCAGTCCCTTCAGGAGCATTTAACAAAATGGATCATCTATATTCCTGTCCAAATAATTTTTTTCCTAAGAGACATTTTACTTTTTCCTCTAATTTCCTGTTTCTTCCCTTCCTTTCTCAAGGTCTGTTGTTGCAGTTTGCCATACTATTTTAATACATAAACTGAATTTGGGGGCAGGGGTTTTGTCCTTCTACATGTCTAAAATGCCATTTGGAGAAAGAGAGCTATAATCTTCTTATTTCACCAAAAATATTTAGTATATAAAACCTAAGATAAGAACTGAAAGCTAGAAAGGTAAAATAGTATATGTGATAAAATAACTATAATCTGTTGTATAGAAAAGTTTAAATATTTCTTTACAAGAAGCACAAACACCTATACTTTTCAGCTTCATCATCTTATTCTGGCGCTTTTCATTTTTAGCCTTTTCTCTTTTAATTTCTCTCAGTATTTTCTAATGAAAGTTGTTTCCTAATTTTATACAGAATACCAGGAATTATTTGGGGAATAGAGGCTTTTCTTGATATTGGAGGATATTGGATAACTAAGGAAACAATTATTTCATAAAGAATTGAAATTTCTTAACCTCTCTTTTTCTCATTTAGTATCTAGTATTTGTACCAAGTTAGTGACACTAGAAAAATAAAGCCTTTATAACACAGTCCTGTAGTTATTCTTTGAGATATTGGTGTCCAAAAGAGAGGAACAATTGTGCCTATTTCCTGTTCAGGAGAGACAGTGGGAGTCTCTAATCATGTTGAAGATTGTGTGATGCCTAATGTATTTGTGAAAATTTTGCCTTTCTGGATACTTGATCAGATTTTTCCTTTTATTTTCGGTCTTTTCACCTACTCTTCCAGCTTCTGCAGATAATCTGCACTTCCTGTATTACTTTTTATTCTTACCATCATAGCAAAATAAGTACTAATATCAATGCAAATACAAAGTCTTCCTAGATTGGGGCAGCTTTTTTTTTTTTTTTTTTTTTTTAATTTAAGATGGCTTTGCCCTATCATTCTCATTCTGCTTTGGCTGGACTATATCTCTAAATCTTTTCCACAAGTAAATCATGCAAATGCTAGCTCTAAAGATGATATGTAAGATTATATAGATTGTGGTCTCCTCCAAAATGCTTTACACACGTCACAAATATAGAGAAAGAGACAATTTCTACAACTGAAAGCATATATCCTAAAAGCGTAATTGCATTTTATTTTGAAATCATTCTTCTATAGATATATAGCTGCTAAAATACATGATTTATCCTGGGCTGTTTAGCGAGTAGTGTTCTGAGGCAATGAAATGGCATTGCTTTTTTTCTCCCCACTTAATAGAAAATTGCTGAGAACTGAGTAGATAATGAAGAATTCCAACATCCAGTTTCTTAACTTTGCAGCTCTGTAAGAGCTGAAACTTAATCAGAAATGTGCGTATGTGCGCACACGTGTGTGTGCCTTTTGTAAGAAAAGAAATGCTTTTTGGCATTACAGAATGCGTTGCTGAAGGAGTGGGACAAACACATCCGAAGTACAGGGAAATAGGCTGGAGCTTGTACTTTTTCCCTTAAATGGGCAACCCGTCTAGTTGCTGTTAGCTGACACAAGCAAAGGGGTGTGTGAATCTAAAAGATTGCTGTACATTGTCCAAACGAGTTCCATTTCAAAGCTGATAAAATGGCAATTAAAATCTTAATTATCTATAACGTGGCCAGACTCATTCAAATATAAACTGGTGGGGTTTCAGAACAAGAGCAAAAACCTCGATGAATTTGCAATAAACTTTTCCAGCTTGAATTATATACTTTAAGAGCTCTTTAATACAGTAAGGGTTGCTT